TCCGATGCAGAATTTTACGCTGATTCTGTGATTCTTTATTGTAATTCCCCTATATTGTGTCTCAAACTATTTTTAACCACTTCTAGATTGTCATGCAATTAGAGCTTTGCAAAAACTGATGCCAGATTATTTTTTACCCCACACTAGTCTGCCATACTGTTACCACTTTCTTACTGGGGAAAGGCACTAGGTCAAGGCCTTTTTGATGCACATTTGATGACGAAATTTTCATTTATCACATTTGCATTTTGTCGTTCTTTATTAATTGTAATCAATGTTTTTGAAAAAAGCGAAAAAAAAATGAACCAGGATTCTTCTAGCTGGATGCTAGCGAGTTACCTCTAAACCACAGCTCCCATCATCTAGTGTGGGGAATTGGGCTGAAATACTGTGGGACTTTGATGCGAGATATCTTGCGATACAGAGCTCCATTGGAAAAACTAAAAGCGGATTCGGAATCTCTATTCAAAGTTCTACAATGGGTGCGCATCAAAAAAGTCACCTTGACCAAAAAAAGGCCTTTCCATAGTTAGAGAGTACGTATGGCATTTTGTCTAGTACTTTTTTTTCAATTTTTTAGTAAAAACAATTGGCAAGCTTAGCTGAATCGGCCGTATCGCTTTAAACATGTGATTTGGTGTGAATCGAACTCTTGAGAGAGAGAGAGAGAGTGGATCGATCTGCAGTCTTGTGCTAGTCCTCTTTAGGCTCTCTCAGTTCTTTCTCTTTTCATCTAGCACATTTTCCATAAAAGGCGCAAAAATGATGGATAGCATAACAAACTTGTGGGAAAAGATCTGTACAAGAAAACGATCTGAATACCGCAAATATTTGGTTTATAGCTAGATTTGAGTTAACTGGTATAGATCTAACGAAAATTTGCTTCCTCTGTGCCTAACAAGAGAACGTTCTAAAGAGGGTGTGAGACTTTTAAACGGCGAGGAAAACGGCGAGGAAAACGGCGAGGCAAACGACGAAGCAAACGGCGAAGCAAACGGCGAAGCAAACGGTGAAGCAAACGGAAAAGCAAACGACGAAGAAACGACGAAGCAAACGGCGAAGCAAACGGCGAAGCAAACGCCTATCGTACATGACGAATCCGATGCTGTGTTTATTTTTTGCCCACTGGCTTTGGCTTTCAAGAAAAGCACATGCAAAGTTCCGCAAAAGCAGACTCTCACCTCACCTATAAGAGGTCGCCGACGGGAAGAAAAGCAGCGGCGGTCTAGGGGATAGTGCGTTAGTCTATCAAATTAGTACTATCTTTGCTCCCGGGTTCGACTCCTCTCGCCGCCCTGCCTTTTGCTTTTTTTGTAAAACTTTCGCAAAACATTTTTGTAGTCCCTAGAGTGTTTGCTTTCAATTTTTGAAGTCTTTTTCTTTATTTACATTAGAGATTCCACATTTGTCTTATTGTCTTATTAACATTTGTCTTATTGACTAGGCTTTATTTCATGTCTTGAATAAAGTATGAATAAATTACATTTCAATAAAAGTGTTCAAGGCTTTCAATATGGTTTTACGTTGGCTTAGGCTTTGCTTTGCCTTGGCTTTCAATATGGCTTTGCCTTGGCTTTCAATATGGTTTTCTCATGGCTTTCAATATGGTTTTGCCTTAGCTTTCAATATGGCTTTGGCTTGGCTTTCAATATGGCTTTGGCTTGGCTTTCAATATGGCTTTGCCTTAGCTTTCAATATGGCTTTGGCTTGGCTTTCAATATGGTTTTGCCTTGGCTTTCAATATGGCTTTGCCTTGGCTTTCAATATGGTTTTGCCTTAGCTTTCAATATGGCTTTGGCTTGGCTTTCAATATGGCTTTGCCTTAGCTTTCAATATGGCTTTGCCTTGGCTTTCAATATGTTTTTGCCTTAGCTTTCAATATGGTTTTGCCTTAGCTTTCAATATGGCTTTGGCTTGGCTTTCAATATGGCTTTGCCTTAGCTTTCAATATGGCTTTGCCTTGGCTTTCAATATGACTTTCCCCTTAAATCATTTAAGAAATCTTTTAAAACCATCATTTCCTTTGAATTCTTTTTAGTCATACTCTAAAAAGCAATTTGTAAACATAGAAAAGAAAAAAAAATCCTTTTTCAATTTAGGACTACGGTAGAGTCGGGGTCTCGTAGCGGGCGAATTTCGGCCTGCGGGCTGTTCGACTAGGAAAAAGGGAAATAGAGTAAAAATTGAAGAGACCCAGGAACAGGGAAAAGAAAAAGGTTCTATAGTCGCACACACGTATTCGCTTTTGGGGGAATTGGGAGAGGGGAGAGGGGCAAAATGGGAATGGGAGGCAGTGTTAGGACGCGACGCGGCTCTTTCCACCGCAACGCGTCTCTTTTTTCCCTTCTCTTCCCAAAATCCTCTCCTTTTTCCTCTTCTTTCTCGTCTTTTCCCGAAATCTATCGAAAGAACTCCTTTTCTTTCTCTCGATGATCACCACATTGATGGCTGTGCACCAAAAATTTTCCCTCTTCTGCCCGACTCGCATCTCGCGTTTTAGCCAATAGGATTTTGTGGATTGTTTTTCAATTTTGCTATGTTTCTATTTTTTGATCGATAGGGCAAGCTGGGTTGTTGGTTTAAGTGACCCCAGCCTAGTCTTGATGACTCATTTCAAGGAAAATGCTTTTGAAGTTTGGAAAAACGGCGTCGCCGCGGTATAACGCCGAATTACTTTCCTCCAATAGATGACCGATTGGTGTGGTGGTTAGTGTGCTCGGCCCTGATCCAATTCGGCTCTATGGTCCCTGGTTCGAACCCTTTCAATGCTTAATCCCTTTACTTTTTGTTAAAGCATTAATTTGTTAGATGTTTTTAGAGTTTCTATAATCAGTAAGAAGCTAAATGCTCCTAGAGCTAAAGGCTCCTGGAACGATTTTCCTGAAGCAAAGCTAGTCCTTATATTTTTCAAGAGTAAACCAACCTTATTGTAATTAGAATTTTATTCGATTAGAAGATTAGATTAGAATGCTTTTATTGTAACGAATTGGTAGATCAAGCAAGATCAAGCAGATCAAGATTAACTATTAAATAAGAAAGGTAACTATTTCCAGACCAGAAGAAACGACGTGACTTTCTTGTACTTGATTGTAAGATATTTTCTTTGCTTTGCAATCCTTGCTCAATTTATTCACCTATTTTTTAAACGTTCAAGTATGATACTAATCTATTTTACAGTATCGAAAGCAAAGAAAATTGTCTAATTAACTGTAAGAAACTTGAGAAATGGGTTTATTTAACGTTTTTTAACGCAAGTTCAAAAAGTAGCCAGTTTAACGTAGGATTTCACCTATTTTTAACCTAATACTGGATTTTTACATATTGATTTGATGTGTTTATATAGATTTATATAGATTTATATAGATTTATATTGATTTAGATTGGTTTATATTGATTTATATTGATTTAGATTGATTTATATTGATTTAGATTGATTTATATTGATTTATATTGATTTATATTGATTTATATTGATTTGATTTGATTTGATTTGATATACAGTATTGGATAAGATAATTAGATAAGATAAGATAATGGATAAGTGTTTAATAGATATCTAATCGACTCCTCTATAAGTGAAACGAGAAATTAAGCGTAGATTTGGTGTCAAAAAGATCAGTGTTTTTGAGTAAAATTGATTGCATTTTAAATTGTAAAACTCTTGCTAAGCTTTTTTTCATTTAGTCGATAGCTAAAGAACTTGAATATATTGCAAAGATTGTGCAAAGTTGAGAAACACAGCCAGCCCGTCAGCCAAGCCTCTTTTCTCTTCGTCGATCGTTCGCAAACGCGACGAAAAAGCGAAAAAAAAGATCGATCGACCCCAAAAGCTTTTGGCTTTAAAAAAAAAACGGTTTCTCTTTTGGAAATTAAGATTTAATCATTTAAATGTAAATAGGAATTTGTTCTATTCAATTTCTCGCCATTGGCAATTTTTCTTGGCAATAAGCCTTGCCAATTGTGCAATGAGCGGTAGATTTGAAAAAAAAGCGATTTATGGAAATTTCTATAACTAATATTTGTAATAAGATATTCAGCTGAATAATTTTGTATCGAATTTTCTCTATTGCTAGAGTTTTTTGGTTAAACTGGTCGAATTGACTAAACGGTTTTTTGTTTAGAAAATTTTCCTGTTATAGCTCTTTTATTGTCCCATTTTTAAGGTTAAGCTAATAGCTGGCTTAAGCTAATAGCATTTTCCCCTTATACTTTATAAATATTCAGTTTTAGTTAGATATTAACTTTAGATTCGTGATCTAGAGCTCACTAGGACCCCTAGGACCACTAGGTCCCCTATTACACCTTTGGGCCAACCTTTCGACAAGCTAATCCCAATAAAACTCTCCAGAAATTGATTAAATCCTTTAATTTCAGTTTAATTCAATAAATATCACTTCAACTTTCCGTTTATACTTTATAAATATTCTAGAAATATTCAGTTTTTGTTAGAATTTCCCTTGGGTGAAGAGAAATGGGTAAAAAGAGATCCACGTCGGCGCTATTTTGACCCGCTTCGACGCGCGCGCGCGACGATCGATCAAAAAGACAAAAAAAGAGGAAAAGAACCGCTTTTTGCTTTTTTGTCTTTATGTCTATTGGGAAATAGCAATTGCTAAATCAAATCGTTTCTTTTCTCTTCGTAAAAGATTTGGCAAAATATGAGCACAATTGTTTTTTCTAGTGGTTAGCTATTTTTCTGAATCAAGAAAATCGATTTTATTAGCTGATTCTCTTTCCCTTATATCTATTCTAGTATTAAATTCAAAAATTAGAGATTTTTGCTAGTTTCCCAACACCAACGCATCACTGGTTATATTCGTATCGATTGATTTCAAAAGGCGATCCAAATTTTCAAATGTTTACTCGACAATTTGAATCTGTGGATGGATTGCATTTATTTAATTTATTTAATTTGTTTAATTTCTTTTCATTTATTCTTTATCTATGTTTTCTATGTTTTTTTAAAGATTATAATTTTAACTTACAGAATCCTAGAGGCAATGCACGACGAAGGCGGAGAAGCGGGCGGTTCTTGCGGTCACTCAGCCGCACAACACGACGATCCATCCGGAGCCACCGCGCAACAAATGTTGAACGATTCAATCTCGGAAGGGATCTCAAGTCCGCATGGTAGATTCTAGATTTATGTTTAGGGCTTAAAATGTAGAGATCTTAGATATCTAGATATTAGAATGAAGGATTTAAAAGCGGTACTAGATCTAGGAAAACGCATAGGAGCAATCCATTAGTCTTTGGCTAAAAAGATTGATTATAGTATAAGATCTTAGATATCTAGATGTTAGAATGAAGGATTAAAGTTAAATAAGTTTATTTGTATATAGATATAAAAATACTAAGTAAATAAAGAAAGACAATTCATAGGTTGCATTTGTAAATCAAATGGCTTTAAAAAGTTTAAGTATACTAGCCTTTTTAGCCATATTTAGACATATACTATATCCGATTTAGATTTTTATCCGATTTAGACTCAATCTAAATCGTATAATCGGCCTCAACAATAGTTTTAACAATTGCTGCGTTGGTAAATCATGTTTTTGTCATGTTTTTAACAGCTTTAGATGGAAATGGCTTTAAAAAGTTTAAGTATACTAGCCTTTTTAGCCATATTTAGACATATACTATATCCGATTTAGATTTTTATCCGATTTAGACTCAATCTAAATCGTATAATCGGCCTCAACAATAGTTTTAACAATTGCTGCGTTTGTAAGTCATGTTTTTGTCATGTTTTTAACAGTTTTAGAGGCAATTTGGCGACATCAACGACATAAAACTAAAACTGAGTACACTTTTCTTTAAAAAAAATGGCTAAATTTGGTAAAAGTTACGGGTTTTCCTATGGCTTTTGACCTTTTTTGGTTTAAAAACGATTTAGTGCAAACACGTATCAAAAACATGACAAAAACATGACAAAAACATGATAAAAACATGATAAAAACATGATAAAAGCATGATTTATCAACGAACCAATTGTTAAAACTATTGTTGAGTCTAAATCGGATATAAAACATACATATAGTTAACTAGTTCCAGGTTAAACCATCTTCATAATCTAACGCAGTTTTCTTACAATTTTGAAACAATTATATAGATGAAAACAGAAGCAAAAAATGATCAAAAATGACAAAACGATTACAAAATTACCAGTTAGAAAAAGTCTTTTGATTCTTGAATAGCTTTAGAAACTGATTAAATAGTTTTCTGGGGTGGGCGGGGATTAAACTTGTGCAAGTAAACGATTCTTGCCGACAGCGAGGCTTTTATTCTTGTGCAAGAAAATGAGAACTGTTATAACTTTCACTAGTGAATCAAAGTTTAAATTGAAAATAATCCAATAAATTCTCCTTTCAGAATGCGGTGGCTCGACTACGCGAAAGGAGAGCTCGCCATTCGCGCGTTTTCCTCGCTATAGCCACGATTTGCGTCACCATCCGCCATGTGGACATAATTTACGGTAAATTTAAAAGAAAATTTAGATCTTTCTTTAGATCTTAAAATCGTAAAATAGAATCTTGTTGATTTAGAAATTTCAGGAGTAAACGTTTGAACGGGATCTCGGTGGCGTGTCAAACCGATTCAACTGACGAGTTTCCGAGAGAACAGAATTTGTTGGCGGTGCGAGGTGAGTGTAAGAAAGGGTAAAAGTAATGAGGGAACAAAATTCACTAGATTTCATTTAAAATTGTTGATCTTTCGACTATTTTGGATCAAACACAAGTCTAGAATTGACTTTGAAATGTCTACTCAGTATTATTTGACTTATTTACTACATCTATTCTATATAAGTTGATAAAATGATATAATTGATAGTGATAGAGTTGATAAAATTCCCTAGTTAAACTGGATAGCTATCTTCAGATCTATTTGATCCAAAATTTGATTATTTTCTATCCAAAATCCTATTTGATTAACAATTGATCAACAACTTTAAGCTAAGCTTAAAGAAAAAGGTTCACGGATGTTTCTCCGTTCTCCGAACTAAGATTTAGCTGTCCAATCAATTTTTAGTATCTTTAATGTGCGAACAAGACTAAATCTTTATCTAAAACTAAAATTTCAGCCGCTCAAACGGAAGCCTCATCCTCGTCATCGGAAGGAGTGCTCCGATTGATGATACAGAATTTTCCGAATATGAACGACACCGTGCGAGGACCAAGTAAAAAGATCAACGGGGTGCAATGGTCAGTTTTTGAAAATGATACTGATGAAATGACTAATTCGAACTCAAACCAATAACACTTAAAACAAGAATCCAATTGTTAGCCAAAGTTTTTAAGAACGCGTCCAAAGGTGCAACGAAAGTTCGAAGCCATCTTGCTTTTAGCGCCAACATTTAGGTTTTAGATAAAATTATTTGAAAAACGGTTTAGAAATTCGAAATCTAGATGAAATTTTGGTCTAGAAGAAATTTCTTCAGCAAAAACAACCTTTTCAGCCATATTTTCTTGTGAAACAATAGCTAAAAGTTGAAATTTGATTACGATTACTTTTTAAAGCTATAAGTTTTTCATTTCAGCTTCAATAAACCTCAAATTTTGCTATTCGTTTAGAAAGATTTTAGAAAATAGAATTTCTTTTGACTGACTACGTTTAATTAGAAATTTCAGAAAATTCAGATGGTTTTTGAGAGAAATTCAAGCGACAAGCATTTTGATTGATTCTGGCGATATATTGCCAATTAAAAAGCCTTGATCTTTCCTTGTAAAGCCTTAAATTTAACATAAACTTTCTATAATTACAAACTTTTATAAGAATATTCAGCATTGGATAGTTTTTTTTTGTTAGTTTAAAAGCTGAATTTGAGGATTGAAAAGCAGGTGGCTTTGAACTTTTGCAGCATATAACCAGCTGAAATCTTCTCGCTTTGTCTAATCGATTTTCGATTCAATTTAAATAGCAACATTGAAAAATGAAGAGAAAAATGAAAGATAAAACAAAAAAATGATCTAAACGCTTTCTTTTTAGGAAGATCATGGTGATGCCGAGACAACACGTCGTGCAGAAGAAAGGCACACAGAAATGTCTCGGTTTCTTTCTGCAATGTTGCCCTGATGCGTACTCGGAGTGAGTTTTTTTTTTTGTTAAGAGAAAGCCATATCTGATAACTTTCACAAGGATGACAAATAAAGTAAATATAAATCGAGTAATACAGCAAATACAGGGCAAACAAAGGAAAAGTTTTGTCCACATTAATAGATTTTATAATAAAACTTCCTCAAAATAGAGTAAAATGAAAATAAAATTTAGAAAATTCGACTATTTTTCTTTTTATACATTTTTGTTTTAAAGAGGAATAGCTTTTTGAAGTTTATTTTTAATGTTTTTTCAATCTACGCAACTCCATTAAACTCCCGCCATTTTTAAGCTCAACTAACAATGTTTAAGACGCTGAAAATCGATAATTTCAAAAGCAATTTGACTGTCTAAGCTATAGTTTTTATAGAAAAACTATTCTTCTTTTAGATAGGTTATCAAAAAAAAGGAAATCAAAGCTGTTTAGAGAAGAAATTGTAGAAAATTGATACGCGATCAAACTGAAAAACGGTATTGGCTCACAGAAAATACCGTTTTTCTGTGAGAAAATATCGTTGCCAATACTAAAAAAGTTTTTGAAACCATACTTTTCCTATCTCCAGGGTTAACGTAGAGTAAAAATCATTAAAAACCATTAAATTTGTAATCAAACCATGTAAACAAGAGTAACCATTCAAATTTGAGACACTTTAGGCTTTTACAGCTTTTACTTTTACAAGTTTTACAAGTTTTATTATAAAGATAAATCTACTAATGCGAACTTTTCACTTTGTATCTAAAAATTGCAGTGCTTGGCAATGTCAAGCGTCGGCGGAGTTGCGTTTGATCTCGCAGAAGCCGGGCGTCAACCATTTCACCCGGAAAACGAATCACATCTACACGGCTAAGGAGAACGATTGGGGATACTCGTGCTTCATGACGTGGGCGGTGAGTGCAATGTTTTTTGATGGATCTTAGAGATTGTGAATCCTGTTTGTAGTGTAGGCTTGGTTGGATTTGATTGGATCAAACCTGTAGATTTAAGTCTAGTTCGTAGCCTTACAGCCTCAAAGTATTCAATCATCAGGACAGTGTCTTTCAATCATCAGGACTGTGAATTTTTCACTTGAAATTACTCAGCCTTGTCTGTAATTTGCATTAGAATTTAGCTAGGTTATCTAGAAAACTAGACTTTTACAGTATCCAAATCTAATCGCTTTTACAGAAGCTTGTTAATCGAATGACTGTAGAAATATTTGCCTAAAACCAAAGCCTCGTTTACTTTGTTAAAGTCGGACCAGTCAAACCGGCTCTGGATCAGTTAGACTTGAATCTAGGCCTGGTTTCATAATATATCTATTGAATTATTGAAATGTTTTAAATAGATAATCAAATTTTAATGCTATACTCTACCGTTTTATCAATTCCTTAATTTCCAGGACATTTTGGAGGAAGACCAAGGCTATATCAAAGACGGTCGAGTCGTTTTAGAGGTGTCTGTTAAAGCGGACACGCCAAAAAACATCTTGTAAGTGTTTCACAGGAAAAACATTTGTATTCTTCCAATTTTCAGGACCTATGAGGACTTTCAAAAGCAAATTCAAAGCTGGTACGACCTGGCGGAACTACAGCAACAGCGGGGATTCATCGATTTGGCATTGGAGGCGAACGCGCAAGCGTTGAAATTCTGCAAAGTGAGTGCAAAATTGACTGAAACTGAGTGATCCAGCGATTGCTTTTGTTTTAAAGTGCTAGAAGTCAAACCTCTAGACCTGTACCTTGGTTCACAAGGAGTCCTTGTACCAGTCAAATCCAGGACTAGGGCTTACAGATCGTAGGCCCGGTCGGAGCATTCCTGTTATAAGAATAGATCCTACTCAGTGATCCACTCAGCTCCAAGCTTATCATTGATTTAAATATTGAATCAAATTATTGAATTTGTGAACTGATAAGTTTAACTACTTGGGTTTGAGAGTATTCTCGAGCGCATAGAGAACACTGTTCTAATACTTGAAAACAACGAAAAATGTGAGTATTCTATTGTTTAGCAAGCTCTCAACAGTTCCAAACAGGTCCTAGATTTTGTTATACATACTGTTAACTGTTAACAGTTTTTGGTTAGAAGCTAGCCCAGTCCTAGTCGAGCTCTAGCTTCTGACAATAGACTTTGTCGGCCAGATAATAAAAAAGTGAAGGATTTGGCAAAAGTGGGTTTCTGGAGAGGGATTGAGCCTTTTTGCCTTGATCTTTCGGGCAATTGCTCTAACCACTGAGCTATTCGGTACTTTAACTTGTCAAGAGAAAGAGGGAAAGACAAGGAAGAAGAAGAAAGAAAGAAGGAAAGAAAGGAGGAAATAAAAGGAAGAAGAAGAAAGAAAGAATGAAATACTGGTCTTCAAAACCTTTAGAATTCATAAATGAACTTGTAAGAAATACAAATTCATTTAAATATTTTTTAGATTAATTTTTCCTTTTCAGGACCGTGATGCAGCGATCAAAGAACGTTTGGAAGAGCAGAAGAAATTTTTCGTCGAGCGAAAACTTGTCGAGAGTATTCAGAGGATCGAGCAGAAAGGTTTGTTAGATTAATTGAAAAATGATTTACAGAGTAATGATGAGAAATCGTTTTTTTTTTTTCTTTCTCAAATCATCGTTCTTATGTCCAGATTTTTGTGAAGGCTTATAGTGATCAAGGAAAGGGATTTAAGAGAAAAAGTTTTGTTGTTTAAAAGAAAGACGACAGAAAAGTTTTGTTGTTTAAAAGAAAGACGACTTTTTTGTCGGTTTTAAAATTTACCATCAAGTCAGTTTTACTAATCAATTCAAGAACAAAATAGACGATTACCATTTTCCTAATAGTAGTTAAAGGTTTTCAAGGTAAATTAAAGCTTTTCAAGGTAAACTCATGTTTTCCTTTTCTTTATTCAATTTTGCGTTGCTCAATTGTTTATTAAATGACTTAAAACAGTAAAAAATTATATAAAAATCGACTTTCTATCTAATGTTTATTAGAATTTTTGAATAGTTTCTCTTTTTTTTCTGTTAGTGGTAGACGATTGGCTATTGATTGATTGAGAATAGAGAAAAGATGGAAAAGAAGAGAGAGTCAGAGATGAAGATGGATATGAAAAGAAAAGATTGCATAGATTGGACAGAGTTCGACGAGATCACGAAAGAATCAGTTTCGCTTGAGTTTAGTCTATAGAAATCGATGATAGTTACCGGGAAACTATAAAAATGCTATTTATATTGTAAATATTGTAGCAAATATTGTAATAAAAATGAATTTTAAAATAGTTTATAAGGTTGATAGTCGATTTTGCTTTACAAATAGCCCTTAATAGTAATCAATCTCTAGATATTTAACACTTCGACAACAATTTTAGTTTCCAAAACTTTCTAGAACCTTTTTTATCCCAGTTTTTAATACTCTGTTTATCCAGGAGAAGCTAATTAAGTCACTAGATAAATTCTTTTTCTTTTGCTTACCTAAGAATCAAATTATGTTGAAGAGAAAGTCTTTGCCGATTTTTTGAGTTTTTAGACTTGTCCAATTTTGACGTGTAATAGCTCATTTAAAAGCTAATTTAAAGCTAATTTCTAGGGAATTAAATAAAAATCGTTTGTTCTATATAAAAACAACAAATTTTCTTTTTTTAGAGCACTGAAAGTGGTGATTTTTGTTTTTTAATTTCAAAGTTTTTACAACCGTTTTACTGAGGGGCGTCAGAGTCCAAATTTCAAAAAAATGAACTTTGTTCATTCTTTTTGTAAGGAAACCTAGATTGAAATCATGTTTTTTAGAATCAGCATCGAAAATTACCCTAGATAACGCAAAACTCATCATTTTAGCAAAATTTTTTCAAAGAAAACCTGCCGCGCACCGGGGTCGAACCCTTGACCCTCAGATCACCGCTTTCAGAGCTCTAAAAAAGGGAAATTTATTCCTTTTCCTCTTCTTTGTTTTGTACTAGTCTAAAACTGAGTTTTAGATGACTATGGAGTGTCAATTTGATCTGATAGAACGGCAAAGACTTTCTCGCAAACCTAATAGTCTTTCAATCAAGCATTTAGCCTTTAGACTTTAGCATTTAGTTTTTAGCCTTTAGCCTTTAGACTTTAGCCTTTAGCCTTTAGACTTTAGACTTTAGCCTGTAGCCTTTAGCCTGTAGCCTTTAGCCATTAGACTTTAGCCTTAAGCCTTTAAAACTTAAAGCCTTTAAAAACTTGTCTCTAACTCTTCTCGCATACATTATACTCCAAAAAACGATTGAAAAAAAGAAAAATGGGAGCTATTTGCCTAAGTGGGGTAGAGTGTGATAAAAAAGGGAAAAGAGGAAAAAGAGAAAAAGCGAAAGAATCGGTGTGTCTCAAAAATTTTTTTGCGTTCTTTTCTCAACTGGACACGTGCTAACTTTACAGCCAAAGTGATTGAAAGAGGAAAAGGATTGGGGAAATTTGAGAAATTAGAGAAAAATGGAGAAAAGAAGAGAAAAAAAAGTGAAGAACGGTCATGTAAATACTCAGGTTGGGTGTGTTGGTTAGGTGAATGGGGGAAAGGGGGAAAGTGGGAGAAGCTTTTGCTTTTTTTTTTTTTTTGAGAACTAGAAGAATTGATGATGGTTTGAAAAAGTGATTTGTGAATAGATAAATTATCGATTTCTAATAGATAGATCAAAATTTCAATCTTTGATACTAGAGAAACGCTACAGATACAGGGTGCGGCAAAAGTTCCGACACTTTTTGTAAACGGGCAGTTTGACTTGGAAAAAACGCGATTTTTGAAAAACTAACACCGGATTATCAAAATTCAGATTTTTTACGCCCTAATATACTTTTTTACACAAAAATCGCTATCTAAACAACCTTTTGATGAGAATGTTTAAAGGTCGTTACAGCAGTTTTTTTTTTGCTGTTGAGATTTGGGTGCCCTTTGTATTAGGTTGTCCAATAAGTAATGCGTGTTACTTATTTCGATGTTACTCATCGAAACCAGCTTCATTCTATTATGACGGACTTCACCCTTTGCTCGGACGATGGAGAAATGTTGTTGATTGTTGTGGAGAATATATCGATTATTAAAGTTCTCTTTTGTTAATTTTGTGATATTTTGAAAATCGTGTCAAAACACGCATTACTTATTGGACAACCTAATATTGGGTTGATGCATAATTATCCGGACTTCTTTTATAAATGATTTTATTTAACAAAAAATAACATAAATAGTTAGAAAAATATGTTTAATTGATTATTCTGGAGCATATTCACCGCCTACATCAATAACTGATTGCCATTTGCTTGGAAGACGATCGATTCCACGAGCGAAGAATAAACGATCTTTGGAGGCAATCCACGCTTTAACATCGTCTATCAAGTCATCCAAATCGTTGTAGATCTTATTTGTTTGCCAATTTTTGAGCGATCGATTGACGTGGTAGTCCGTTGGGGCTTCTCCAGTTCTTTGAGATCGCGAAACGACTCTGCGGCAGACCATCCCTTTTCGAAGTGGTAGAGCATGATATGGCGAAGATGGATATGATTGTCGACACGCATTTTGTTCACTAAAGAATAACGAATATTTTAAAAAAAGAAATAGACAAAAAGCTTTCAAAACAAAAAAGATACAAGCACGCAAAAAGAAGTCCGGATAATTATGCATCAACCCAATAGAATAGCTTGAAAATTTTTCGTTTTTGAGATATCAATTTTTTTTTTGTGGCTTGTTTTTAAGAAAAAAAAAAAACTCAGTTCTATCAAATGGTAACAGCAGTTTTTGGAAAAAATTTCATTCTGCAAAGTTTAAGTCAACTTTCGCAAAAATCTTCGGCGACCAGACCGGGATATAAAAAATTCTCGTCAAAAAGTTATTGAGAGTTGAAATCTTTTTATGAAAATGGCTATATTGGGGTGAAACTACGTAAATTTTTAGAATCCGGCGTTAGTTTTTTGAAATTCACGGGGTTTTTGAAGCCAAAAAAAATGACTGCTTACAGAAAAAGTGTCAGAACTTTTGCCGCACCCTGTATCTGGCAAAGAAAACGCCGCTATTTTCGTTTATTTTTAGTTTATTTCTTTAGTTTATGACTAAACAATTTTGTTGTTTGTTTTTAGTTTCTAAAAACAGTTAGTGTTAGTTTCTGCTTTAGTCTAGTGGCTAGTGAACTAGAATATCGTAACTGTTGGATTTTGATGCAATTTCGCTTTGTATTTAGCATTTGTTTGCGATCAAAAATCGACTTCTAACGAAGTTCTGGTTAAACTGAATGAATAATTGAAAGTAAATAGGCTATTAAACAAATAAAAGCTGCAAAAAGTGCCAAAAAAAGAGTACAAAATCCTATCATCGAATCTAGAAACTTACACAAAACATTGATCATTTATTTATCTTTATTTATCTTTATTTATAGGTACATTGACAAGCGTGCCGGATGATGAGAACGCCTCGCAAAATGCTGTTCGATTGGCGCTCACTCAGAACACTGCTCAGAAAATACCAGCTGTAAAAGGAGGAAAAAATGGGAAGAAAAATCCGACCAATAAAAAGGTTCGTTGAAAAAGAGAAAAAAGAACAAAATTATTGAAAAATGATGAAAAATCGTTTTTTTTGTTCCACTTTTTGATAAAAAAGAAGCCGAGTTTTTTATCATTTTTCAATCACTTTTTTCTAAATTCTGGTTAATGCTAGAAATATGTTCTATATCTCAAAAAATTACCCATTTTCTCTACTTTAATTTGATACCTAAACGAGTGGAAACAACAGCACTGGTGTTGAGATATGAGCGTTTGTTTGAAGAGTAAACTTAGACTACGCGACGATCCTATAGGGGCTTCTGGAGTATTTAACAATGATTTGAAGTAAGTAATGTAGGTACAGGTGCTACAAGAATCTTGTAGGAATAGATCTTTGTTGTGAATGAATTGATTGTGAGACCTTTCATACGCGAGGCCCCGCCCCTTTTCCCCATTAGCAATCTAACTTTGAGCTCAAATTTCTTGGTGTTGAGCTGTTCAATTTAAATCTTCTTGGTATCATTAGATGCGGCAAGTCTTTCTCTATCGATTGGTACAAAAACTATTGAAATTGGACATTCCAGCACCAAGAAATTTGAGCTGAAAGTTAGATTACCAATGGCAAAGGGACGGGACCATTGTAAGACCTTTTATACGCGCCCCGCCCCTTTTACCAATCTAACTTTGAGCTCGAATTTCTTGATGTTGTTCAATTTATAAATTATTGATCTCATTAAATTAAATGAAACTGGCGGGGCGTATATAAGATGGCCCAGTGGCCCCGCCCCTTTTCCCATTGACAATCAAACTTTGAGCTCAAATTCCTCGGTGTTTGGCCGTTCAATTTAAATAGTTTTTATACTAATCGATAGAGAAAGACTTAGCGCATCTAATGATATCAAGAATACTGAAATTGGACCGCCTAACATCAAGATATTTGTACTCAAAGCTAGATTGCCAATGGCAAAGGTGGCGGAGCTTGTATCAAATGACTGATAACCTTCAAAAATTCAGAAAAATCGTGCCTCAACTCCACCGGGCAATCCACCAACGGAAAACAAAGATGACAGCAAAGATGGAGATGAGAAAGTGGACGTGAAAAGTGGACGATTCTCGAAGAATGTTCTCCTTCGTGGACATCGAGAGGATAGTTATGCAAATTTGGCAAAACAATTCTACGAGATGCCACCAGAAGCGATCCAGCTGGATGAACAGGACACTAGGGTGAGTGATTTTTGCTTGGGATTTGAAAAGAAACAGTTTTGGGAAGACTTTTCATGGATTGAAAGCTGAAAACTGAAATTGTAAGCTCTGGATTGAACGTTGAAACTAGAAAATCACCTAGATTCTGTAAAAATTCGAAATTTCTATTTTCAGGACGGTTTAAGCTACATGTTTGATCAACTCTTTCATGTCGCTCGTTTGGACTATCCAAACAAATTCAATTCAACCCCTTTGGACATGGAGTTACAAAGACAATTGATCATCAAGAAAGCGACGATGTTCGTTGAAGCATATATGGAAAGAGTGAATCGAGGCGAAGATTTGGTGGAAAGTGAACCGGAAGAGGCGATCAATGAGATGGATTTGAGTAATTTATGGCAACCGACATTCAAGGAAAGCACAGAGGATCGAGCGTTTATCATCGAGAAGAATATGGGATGGTTGGACGCAAAAGTGAGACTGTTTTGGGTAGGTTTTCATTGTTTTAAGTGATTTTAAAAGGAGATATTGGATAGGGTTTTATCTGAGGAAGAATTTGGTGTTTAATAGCACCGCTGCTTGTCTCTAAATGGTGTCATAGTACCGTAGTCTCATTCCAAAAAGCTTTCCCACTACCGTAGTTCGATTTTAAAGTAACAAAAGGTGTCCGATTACTGTAGCTCGATTCTAAAAGCTATTAAACTATTGTATGTTGATTGTAAAAGATCTCTTACTACTTAATCCGATTCTAAAAACTGCCTTATTACCATAATTTGTTTTAGAATGATAACGAAAACATCTGTCGGTTCTTTTTTATCGTTGATAAAAGGTCTTTCGTGTTTTTCTCAGCACCAATCCTTCGATTTTGTCTATTTTGACTTTCATTTAATGCAGAATAAAATTGCGCGTCGAATGATACCAAAATTAACTCAAAATATAAAATCCATGCAAAGTTATTAACTAAAAACCTAAACCCCGCCCATTTCTTAACCTTTTGTCTCATAACTTTACATGGATATTACATTTTAAGTTAATTTTGGTATCATTCGACGCGTAACTTTATTCAGCATCGAATGAAAGTCAAAATCAAAGGATTGGTGCTGAGAAAACACGAAAAACCTTAAATTGCCAACGGCAAAAGATTAAGTCCCGCCCATAATAGGCGGGGTTTTGGTTTTTAGTTAACAACTTTGCGTAGATATTATATTTTAAGTTCATTTTGGTATCATTCGACGCGCAATTTTATTCTGCATTGAATGATAGTCAAAAGAGTCAAAGTCAAAGGATTGGTGCTGAGAAAAACACGAAAAACCTTAAATTGTCAACAGATGTTTTCGTTACAAGTCGAATTTATTTCTAAAAATTTCCTTATTTCAGTGGTTTGATTTTAAAGTGTTTTTATTGCGGTAGTTTATTACCGTAAATCCGTAATGTTTCTACCGTAAGCCAAATGTTGACTTAAAAGTTTGAGAATTTGTTTAAACTTTAGTCTTTAGCTGTAAAATAGTCAGTCAGAGTCAGCGTTTTTTTCAGTCAGACACTTTTTTCACTAGATTCTTTAAATAGCTTATTTTACCTTTATTTTCTTTCTAGAATAGGGTTTTCTTTAAAGCGACAGCAATCGTTTTAAAGAAAACCTTCATTACCGTAGTCTGGCTAATCTTTACCTTCATTACCGTAGTCTGGCTGATCTTTACCTTCATTACCGTAGTCTGGCTGATCTTTACCTTCATTACCATAGTCTGGCTGGTCTTTACCTTCATTACCGTAGTCTAGCTAATCTTAAAAAAAGAAAAAAACCTTTCTCCTATGAAAAATATAACTCGTATAGAATTTCATCCAGTTGGAGGACGATTGCTCATTCTCTGACGGTGCTTCATGCTCATCGGAAAGCGATTCGGGCAGTGGTGACGGGCCACAATTGAAGAGGAGTCGCTGTGATGTGGACGAGCGCTGTGATCATTGCATTCTCGCCGAGAAACTCGAGCAACTCTATTTTGGTCGAGAAACCGTAAACGAACTATTGAAGGATCGTTTTTCAGTTGGACCGAAAAAATCGGACAGCGAATGTCAGACGGAGCCCTTCTGTGAGACGGTGGTGTTGGCACAAAATGAGGCCGCGAAAAAGGTAACGTCTTTTATTCTGTAGTAGAAATTGTAATTAGAACTTGTACAGTACGAAAGAGTACGAAACAGTACGAAAGTTTTTTGTTTAGAATCCAGCCGTTGGCGAAACAGTGCCCGTTCCAACCGTTCGCTTGAATGCTACGCAACGCTCAAATCGACAAATCAAAACGGTGACGAAGAAAAACACGGCGGTTAGCGGAAAAGCTGCGGCAAATGCTCAAGTGATCAGTCAACAGTTGGCAGCAATGCAACAAGCACAGCTAACACAGGTAGATAGGAAACGTACGTACAATGACAAGAGATAATCCGTCGTTAACCTCAAACTCTCTACTTGAGAAATTTTGAAAATAAAAATGGAATAAGAAAGCCGAATTTTTAAAATATTAAACCGTCCTATAAGATTATTGATATCAAAGAAGTAGTGAAAAATAAATGGATTTAAACAATTCACATAAGATTTCATCTTTTAAATCCCATATTTTCAGCCACCAATCCCACCACCAACCTCAATGATGCCACCACCACACGAGATGCTCGACGCCTCTCAGTTCGTTCAAGGATTGGTAAGTTGAGCTGACTTTTTTGGTGCCTTGTATAATACGCGTTGACTCTTCAAGAAAATACGCACCAACTTTGCAGTTCGTCATATTTAATAAGGCATTTTGTAAGATACAAAATAGAATTACGAAATGTTTTTATTAGAAAATACAGACTGACAGTCTATTTAGCAATTTAGGCGCCGGTGAAGCCGGTGCGTATTTTCTTGAAGCTTCAGCGCATCTTATGCAAAGTGCCCTTTTTTTGCGTGAACGCATGTTTGTCAACAATATAGGGCACCCTTTTTTTTTGAATGCTAGAGTTGTGAGCTTTAGTCGTTTTTTTCTGGAAAAGTTTTGCTTTTGCTGTTTATTTTGATTTGTTCAAAGTTCAAAGAAAAGAAAAAGCTCTAGAAAAGAAAAAAAATCTTCAGAAAAGATTCTAAATTAACGAGATTTTCGAAAAATAAACAGCAAAAGTGTGATTGTGTTTGGGAAATGTTAGAAGAAAAAGAAAAAGAAACTGGCCAGGGCACTCGGTGTTTTTTTTCAGGCGGCTGCCCATTTGGCCTCAATGCCTCCACCACCCGGGCTGAGCACTGAAGATCTAGAGAAACAGGTAGAAATAGAAAAAAAATCACACGGGAAATGATTGTTTATGTGAAATGAACGTGCTTAGCAATGCGTTTACTTTGAGCTCTAGAAAACACATCTTCTGGCACGCTTAGGCACGTGCTAGAGAGAGTGCGTTTACAGCCGATCACTTTGTACTTTGTGCTCTTTGTAACACACCTTCTGGCACACTTAGATTTAGACAGTGTGCCAGAAAATGTGTGTTTACTAGAGCATAAAGTACCAGTGTTTGGCTTGTGTACTTTGTGCTTTCCAAACGTGTACCTTCTGGTAAACAAATTGCTAAATAGGTTCATTTGCATAAAATTGTTAAAGTACTTTATTTAAAGTACAATTCAATTCAATGCACAGTCTTTTATTGCTTAAATGTGCACGATTCTCGTAGTTTTTTTTTGTGTTGGTGATAGCTTTTTTTGTAGGTGATATGCTCAAATTTTGTTCAAGTGCACCTGGGGAAAAATCTTTGGGAAAATTTGAATTTGAAAATTTGTGTGTTTAACTCTCGAAAATTCAGTTCCGCGAGTGCACAAACGAGATGCAAGTGGACGAGTCGACAAACGAGTTCTTGAAGCACACTTTCGCGAGAGTTTGGACGATGATGAGAGGATTCGATGATCAAACGGTAAATGTGAGTTTTCAAAAACTTAAGCTGAAAATATTTCGCTTCAAAAATCTAAGCAATAAACAAATGATAAGCCTGTCAAAATAGCCACAGGCGATTTTAGTGAAAAAAAAAATTGATTGCTTGATTTTGAATCGACGTTTTTGGTCGAGTGACTACGAAGTAATCCTCCTTACACGTCCAGTAAATTGAATATCTTTACATTTGAAGGGAATTTGCCACCAAATCAGTTAAACGGCTGAATATCTTTAGAGCCATATAAGTCGACGCTCGTGTTTTTTTCGCGCCAATTTTTTGCGATAATTTTCAAAATGTTTGAAAATTTGTCAATTTTTAATCTTTTTAAAAACGCATTACTGCTCTATTGCTTATATTCTTTAAAATTAAGGATTCAATGTGCCAGCCGGTGTACGTTACTGATTTGTAGCTCTAAAATTTTTGATTTAAAATTTATTGACAAGTTTTGATTGTTTAAAAAGCTCGAAAGTTTTTGATTTTAAAGAAATAGACACGTTTGCTTAAAAAGCTTTAAAGTTTTTTTTGATCTAATACGGTTCCAATACGGTTTTTTTTGATCTAATACGGTTCTAATACGGTTCCAATACGGTTTTTTTTGATCTAATACGGTTCTAATACGGTTCCAATACGGTTTTTTTGATCTAATACGGTTCTAATACGGTTCCAATACGGTTTTTTTATCTAATACGGTTCTAATACGGTTCCAATACGGTTTTTTTTGATCTAATACGGTTCCAATGATTTTAAATAAATATACAAGTTTTGATTGTTTAAAAAACTGTATTTCTTTTATTTTAGTCGCAACTCAACCCCGAGGTGCCGAATGTTTACGAGGGAAATCTCTACAATCCGTATCCAGGACAAGTGGTAAGCTTGAATTTTTAAGTATAACTGTAAGTATTTAAGTATAACTGTAAGTATTTAAGTATAACTGTAAATTGTAGTTATTTGTACTAGAAAACAAAATCTAATGAGAATACATTTGCAGCTACCGAATCAACAAGTGAACATCGCGTTGTCGGTGATCGCCGTGTGCTGTTTGAACGCGAAAAAAGCCGAGGAGAAGCTCAGCGCCATCACGCAACACATCGACAAAAAGTGAGGGTTTTTTGAAAATATTGGAAATTTTGTTAGGGCAAGTAGTTTTAAACAGACTAAGTTGACACAAAAGTAGCAGAATGTAGGGCAAAAGAAATTCCAAACGAATTTGACAAGTTCGTTTAATTTCACTTTTGCTTTTCGTCTCTCGTCCCTTGGCTGATTATTCTAGAATTTTATCGATAAGTTTACAGCCAAAGACAAAATTGGACGGCTAAAAACTACAGCTAAAAACTACAGCTAAAAACTACAGCTAAAAACTACAGCTAAAAAACTACAGCTAAAAAACTACAGCTAAAAACAATTGAACGATTTGCCAAGAAATGTCTAATTGTAAGGAAATGAAGGTGAAACTAGGCGATTTATAATCTAATATGATCAAATTTATAATTTATATAATAATGAAAGCGATTTATGATTTCTATGAGCAAATATACCTTTAGTTGTTGCAAACGAAAGTCACGCTGGTTTTGAAAATAGTTTTTTAGGCATTTTACAAAATAACAATTTTATTGAGAGGAGAAAATGGATAGGACGCCCTCACTAACCATAACCATTCGGTTACAAGGCATTTTTTGACGTAATTGAGCATTAGAAGCTGGACGAAACCAGGAATTCGTAAAAACCTTTCAAAAATCATGAACTTTGAAGCCATTTTTCTCAAAAATTTTGTCTGTCTAGTACATTGGAGATCTACTTTTTCGGATTCAGGAAATTTTTCAATAAAATAGGTGTTGTTTTTCAATAAAATAGGTGCTGGAGGCGGTGTACATCCCTTCTCAGGGACAAAGCCTGCTCTTTTAAGAAATTCTAGTAAATGAAGTTTTATTAATAGATGCCATAAAATAATCCTTCATTAAATCTCTTTAATTTTACCTTATTTATTATTTTAGAATCAGAAATCCTGATGTGCAAACAGCGTTGCGATCCCTTTGCAAACTCGGCGACATGGTGGTTGTCGAGGATGATGAGGACTCGGGAAGTCCACTTCACAATGAAGACAAGTTTGTATTTTAAAAAATAGCTCTTTCTTGTATACTAACGGTTTATTCGACTTAAATGTATCATTCTGTTAAACCTGTAATCTGTAAAGCAAAGCTGCAAAGCAAAACAAAGCAAAGCAAAGCAAAACAAAGCAAGCAAAACAAAGCAAACAAAGCAAGCAAAACAAAGGAAACCTAAACTAGTTCAAGTTCATAACTGTATCTTGCTAGTTTTGGTTTAAATAGATGTTCTAATGATGGAAAAAAACTTATTTAACCATAAGTTATTGATCTAAAATCTAAAAAAAACTCATCTATATTATTTAATATTTTTAGACACGGTGGAGAGGATTATTTGTTGTCGCGTCACTTGGCTCGTTTGGACAATCTGCAACAGAAAGCCGAAAAATACGCTTACTATATTCACAACAAAGATGGAGAAAGGTGAGCAGTTGAATCCATAACTGTATCTTGCTAGTTTCGGTTTAAGTTTATGTTCTAATGATGGCTAAAAACGAATTATATTATGTTCTAATGATGGTAAAAATCATCTACATATATATTAGACTTTCCAGAAATCTTTAAGATCTATTAGGCTTTCCAGAAAGTCTTTTCGTTCCTTTTCGTACTTCTGTTTTTAAACCAACAAATGCACCAATCATTTCTACCGTTTGTTTCATTAGAAAGCCCAATCATTTTTCTGTGAAATAACATTAAAATGGCTTTCAAATGTTTTATGTCTAGATTTTTTTGGGAACGTGAAGTCGGATAGTCAAAAAGGGCGGCTCGATGATGCTAAGAGATTTTAGAAAAAGAAACCTATCTTGGTATCAATAGATAAAAGCTAGAGCACAAAAAGTTAGGTATATAGACAAATTTTGAGAGAAATTGACTTAGCAAATTTCTTCGTAAAGATTTTGATAGATTTTTACCGAAAAAACACTTTTTTCACTCTCGAATTTACTTAAAATTAAACCGAAATTGACTTAAAAAGATGGGGAATTGAACAATAAACACTTTTTATTTAGAACAAAGGTCAATTGGTTAATTGGTTCATAGGTTAATTGGTAAATTTGTTATTTTTTTTAAACGGAATTATGAAAAGGAACGAAAAGACTTTGGATATCTTTATAATCTAGATATCTAGATATCTTTATAATATCTAGATAATGGTTATAATCTAATTTAAATCATCTTTAGATTGATGCAAGCAGTTGCGGCAGTCGAGCAAAAGTTCTTGACACTCGAAAAGGAGAAGGTGAAAATGCAGAAACAAGTCGAAGAGCACAAGAAAGAGGTCGAGAAAGCGGAAAAGGTAGATTTTGAAATTTTTGAAAGCTAGAAAGCTTTTTGAAAGCTTAAAACAACGTAAATAACGTGACAAATTCCTTTATCTACAAATTTAGACCCTCACGAAACACCTCAGCGAACTCCGACAAGAAAAAGACATCAAAGACAAGCTAAATAATCAGCTAAAAGAGAAAAACAAAGAGATCAAGAAATTCGAGAAACGAATCAAAGAGTTGACTGTGATGGCTGAAGAAAAGGATGAGTTGAGAGAACAAAAGGACAATATTCAAAAAGATCTCTCGGCTGAGAAGAAAAAGTATCAGGAATCGGAGAATCGCTTGAAGAAGGAAACAGCCGCGAAAGAGGAGCTGAGAAGACATCTGCAGAATGAGATCAATGGGAAAGATTCGGAGCACGCACGTTTGATGCAAGCACACGAGGAATTGAAGCAGCAGATGAAGAAGATGGAGACAGCGATGAATGCAGAGAAACAGAAAATGGGACAAGTGTTGCAGCAGACACAGGAAAGGGCAAAGAAAGCCGAATTGGTGACAATTGAGCTTGTGTACGAGCATGGAGTGAGGAAATTGGATCGAGGAAGAGAGGATGCCACGATCAATATGAATAAGATGGATGAAGCGGCGACAAGGTGGGGTTTTGAAAGATATTACGTTGGAGTTTAAGTCTTTACAGTCTTTTTTCCAGGCATCTTTTAAAAAATAATGTCGCCACTAACAAAATTACTATTTGAACTATTAAAAAGTTTAATTGTTTCTCTGCAAAATGGCTTTTTTGGAAATTCTTGGAAATAGTTGTTTTAATGGATTTTCAAAGGCGCAAAGGCGAGCGCCCAAAACTACTTCGATGCCGAAGTCGCAATTTGGGCACATTCTTGAATACAAATCTATTTTAGTGCCAAAGTAAAAAAGATAGAGCTCATTTGATTACTTAATTCTGTAAAATTTGAAAACGATCCGTTCAGCGATTTTCTTTAAAACAGCAATTGAAAATTCTACACAAAACTGCCTTTTTGAATCGAGTTGAGGCGAGCTTTGAGCTTTGAGCTTTGAGCTTTCTCTCAAAAGCCATTTTGTAGAGAAATGATAGATCTTTTTAATAGTTTAGGATGCAATAAGTTTGGTAAAAGATACTTTTTCATGGAAACAAAAATTTTAAAAAAAATTGTAAAGACTTATGCACCAACCTAATATATCGGTAATATTAGGGTTGTTCCAGAAAGCTAGATCAGTTTCAAAGCCAAAATGTCTGCCAGGGCAGGGCAAAACCAGTTCAGACACTATTTTGAACCATTTTCTGTCTTGAAGTCAAAAGTTGAAAGCCAAAGAAATCACGGCTTTGGAGCTTGGCTTTGGCTTGTTCTGAAATTTCTAAGAAAAACCCTGGTCAAGACACCGTAAAGTTACAGGAATCTGTCTGATGATAGTAACCTAGCTACTAAAAGTATTCAACCGATAAGACTTGAATTACCTAATCTTAGCGCATTTCTAGTGAAAAGACTAATATTGTATATTAAAGCTTAATGAATTTGAAAATGAGCCAATTCCAGAGCTGGCTCCACCGCACAACAACAAACCTTCTTGGCGTCGCGGGACGAATGGAAAGGAGTACTCGAAGAGATTCAACGGATGGTTGAAAAGGTTTGTATTTGATTTATACAATCGGTTAGGTTTCAAGGCTTGCAAAAACCTTTGTTATAGCTGCTTTGAATGTCAAGAAGCTAAAAAGGCACTAACTTCTGATTACAAAAGGGAACTTTTCAGGCAAGAGTCGAGTATTCGGCACAAGTGGACGCACTGAAGAAGGGAAAACAATTGAGCGAGATGACCAAATTCTTGATTCCGAAGCCACCACCCGCTCCAAAGATCATCACCATTCCGTCAGCCACCCCAGCCGCCATTCCAACACAACAACAAGTTGTGCTGCCACCTGAACCACCAAAGGTATTCGTGAGTTTGATTCTTTTTCATAGATTATAAAAGGATCATAATTTACTATGATCTATATCTATTAATTTTAGGCCTCACCTGGAGTGATCGGTTCTCGCACAAATTCCACTGCATCCCAGCTGCCTGCACCAATCGGCACAAATATCTCTCCAAAGAACAAAGCTCCCGGATCGCCGATTCAGAAACCGGTGGCCACCGTCGCTTCACAGCCACAAACCGCCAGTCCATGTAGACATCCAGGTAAGATTTTAGTTTAAAGCAAGTTACTCGAGACTTTGTTGAATCTATCACGATACCTATAGTTACATTTGTTACCTCTAGGTCCAAACCTTCTAGCTTGAAGTAGCTTACATTGAAAGCACACACACTTTTGCCCACTTTTGATCTGATTTTAGATTCAAGTCTATAGCTGAATATCTTTATTTTTCAGGAGCTATTGGCTCTCGTGCTAACGGCAACGAAGCAACTCCGAGCACCGCTGCCGCACCGGGAACTGCATCAAATCTGAATATGGGTGGATCGTGGCACTGGAATGATTTCAGTTTATCCGACAATTTGCTTGGAAATCGTGGTTTTGGGCCGCTCACAGACAATTTTTCGGCATCAGGTGAACTTTGAAATGAAAATCTGAAAATCGGAAAGAATGTTCTCGATTAAAGCTAGTTGCCAAAGCCATAGAGTTGATAAAAGATAGAACACTTATACTGTCGACTCTCGATACAACGATTTTGAGATTGTAAAGCACGCTCTTGTTTTCTGCGTAGCTGTCCAGCCAAACGCGATTGTTGGCCGTTCTGGGCAACTACGCACAAAATTTTGGGCACTTTTTAAAATCGTTAAATCGAAATTTTTGATCCCGAGCGAATCGTTGAATCGAGAGTCGACTGTAGTTAGAATTAACTTTGCAAAACAGTTTACAAACCTTAAGTACTAGATAATGCTCATTGTTTACCATTAGAAAGTAAAACTGAACAGTTCGAAAGCCGCTACAAGTCAAGATATCAGTCTTTTCCAGCTACTAGTCCAATCTTATTTTTAAATTCCCCCAAATTTCAGCGTCCACCAGCACCAACCCTGCTCCCACCACCACAACGCATGCAACGACAACGAATGGATGGTCGGGTGATGGATGGAATCAGAAAACTCCAACCGCCGTACCCCCAACAGCAAATCACAACTATTTGGGTAGTTTGGGGACAGCCAGTCCGAGTTATGCGGTTTGGGAGAATCCCGGTCCTCGCGCCCAACAACCACCCCAACAAGCGAACATTCCACAACCACCACAGTCTCAGCCACCGCCACACACTGCCGCTCCCGGAGCCCCGATTCAGCAGAACCAGGTTTGTACTGTCATAAAACTGTAGATATTTTTATAGTAAAACCTTTAGTATACTGTATTCAGTCATTAAGCTACAGTACTCTGGAGCAAGTACTGAGCATTTTTAGTTTATCTTTCAAGATACTGTAGAACTTAGAATATAGTAGAGTGTGTTTTCTAGAAGATGCCCAAGCTACTGTAATCTTTGCTTCAGGTTTTCTTTGAATTTCGCTTAATTTTGAACTTATTTGATGAGGAATCAAACTGTGAATTGAATGGGATCAAAAGTAGAATGCTCGGTTACGGTTACGGTAGCTGAAGGAAAGGTTACGGTAGCTTTTGGTCAGCTTTAGAAAACGGATAAGTCTAAAGGATTTCTATTCTATCAATAAAAGATACTTTTAAATCTTTTCCTTTACAATTTTCTTCATTTTCAGAGAATCACACAGAAATACGGTGGCGAAGAAGCGTTTAAACATCAAACGATCCTCGAGCAAGTCAGCGAGATCTTTCGCCACGTCGAAAAGAAGAAATTGGTGAACTTGTCGAACGAGTACTGCTATCAGAACCAAACGAACTTCCAACACGAACCAATTCCGATTGCTGTGAAGATCCTGGAGAAGTACATCACACAAAAGGTTTGGATTGCTTGGAGTTCTAGGTTTTTTTTTTTTTGATTCAAAACAACCAATTTTCCAGCTGAACAACGAGACGAACGATGCGTCGAATCGTCGTGTGATGGGCACTCCGATTCAACCGCCACCCGGTGTCACCCCGAGCTACATGAACATGGGTCCATTATCCGGTTTAGACATGCCCATCAGACAAACACCTAATCAAATGGTTGGTTCTTGATCTTTAACCGAATCACAGTGGTATCGATTATTAATTAGCTAAATCATATAGAGAAATCTATAGATTAATGTTGATATCTATTAGTAATTTAGCTAGACTTCTAACTAGAAGAGCTACTTCTAAAACCTTTAAATACAATGGTTCTTTTATAACTGGGCAGGAGCCAGATTCCATCCTGAAACTAGGACCCGATCAAGCAAAAAGCATAAAGCACCCTTTTCTGGGTTTAGCCATGGGTTTGTTAGCTTTAAAATGCTAGCTTAGAAAGTTAGATATTTTCAATACTAGACTGGCTTAGCTGACACATTAGACCTGTTTATTTGCCGGTCTGATTGTCAATAGGTGTACAACGAAAGATTTGGCCACTTCAACGACAACTTTTTTAGGATTTCTTGCTTCTACGAAGGTAGAAGCTTTTCAAGCTTAATCTTTTGGTCTAAAAGTGCCTGAAAAGGTAGTCATTGAAGTGGTCAAATCTCGTTTTCCCGTCGCACACCTATTCACAACCAGACTGAAAATGAACAGCTATATTTAGCCAGTCAGAATCCGGGCCAAGTATCTGGGTTAGCCCAGGAAGCCCAGGAAGGGTTAGCTGGGTTGCAGGAAGACTTGTGAAAGTTGGTTCAACGGAAGCTAGACATCGATCTTGCTGGCTTGTGTTTGAATTCTGCTTGGTTACGGCAAAATAATATAAACTAATATAGCTAATATAGTCTACCGTATAGCTGTTGTTGTGCTGGAGTTAACTGACTGACTGATTGGGTCTGATAGTTGAGATTGGGTCGAATAGTTGAGATTGGGTCGAATAGTTGAGATTGGGTCTGATAGTTGAGATTGAGCCTCTAAAAGTATGAAGTTGTATAAGTTTGATGTGCAGAGCGACAAAATACAAGAACAAATCGAACAAATCGAACAAAATAAGACCAAATAGAGCACCAGAAAAACTTGGTATTATGTAGGATCGGTGAAGTTGTTAGTGTTGTCAAATAGAAAACAGAAAAAGAATTTCCAGATGGGCACGTACAACACGATGATGGACAACTCGCTTCTCAACGGCGATGCCACTCGCTCGGTGATCGGCGCCGACAAGTGGAGTCTTCAAAATCTCTAGAAAATTCGTCAAGATCAAGAATGACAAGAATTACAAGAATTTCCCCCAAAAATCCTTGCTTTGCTTAGCTTAAAAACTAACATCTAACATCTAACATCTAAAGAAGAAAGAAAATCCGAAGAAAATCGCACCGCCAGGCGTTTTTTCTTTTTTTGGGATTCCCAGAATTTTTTTTTCCTCTAAAAATGTCCGAAGTCCGTCGATTTTTGTCAAAAAATTTTAGTGCTAGTGTCTGAGTTTTTTTTTTTAAATTCAATGCAAATCGAATTTATCCCATTCGAATTTGGAATTCAATGCAAATTTTGGATACAAATTTGTTGGTTAAATGCTAATTTCGCGTGTTCCTCCCCCCGGGCCCTTTTTTTTTATAGATTCTTTTGTTTCGATAATTATTCACAATTTTTTTTTATCCCGTTTTTCTTGAAAACGTTTGTGTGTTGTTTTCTTGTGTACAAAAGATAACACGCGAAGTTTTTTTTTTGTTTTTCCATTTTACACACATTTTTTGAATCTTTTGAATCTTTTGACTCTTTTGACTGACTTTTTTCTCTCTCTTTTTTCATTTATTCATTCATTTTTCCCCTCCCTTTCCATCACACACACATCTTGAAAATATTTCTACTATATTATTTTTCTTTTTCTTTTTTTTTTTCGTCGTCGCTGATATTTTATATTTTATATTTACTTCTTTTTCTTTTCTACTATACCTACTAGCGTTCGAGGAACACTTTTTATTAATAAAGTGATTGTTGTGCGTTAAAGGAAAGCGCTTAAAATACAGGAAAAATAAAATTATCTTATTCAAAAGGAACTCGAAAATGTGTAGACATACAAAAGAAAGTAGAAAAATGAGAAAAATGAAAAATTCAAGAAAGAAAGAAAAGGAAACTACAATGAGAAACTACAATTTTATGAGAATAGGTACAAGAGCGCTTAGGCAAAAGATACTAGGCAAAAGATCCTAAGCAAAAGATACTAGGCAAAAGATACTAGGCAAAAGATACTAAGCAAAAGATACTAGGCAAAAGATTTGATTTCATTTACAGCGTTCTTAAAACGAGGGAAAGATGCTAGGATTTCCGAGTTTAAAAGTAAATTATTTAACCCATTCGAAACTTCTGCAGCGAATAATCGCTGCAGCAAAAACTCAGGAACGGACCGCTGCAGCACTAATTGAACTATTTTCATTCAATTAATTGCTTTTTTTTTGCTGTTTTTCAGCATTACATGTATATTCCAATTGTAGCAGATCTACAAATTACGTGGGCAAAAAAGATGTTTCATATTTACCCGGAATCAATGCAGTCTCTGGTTTTGCATTGAAATGTTCCATAATAGCTCTAATCTTATAAAGCCGGATCCAGTTCTGGATCCGGCAGCCTCTGGATCTCCTGCAGCCAGGTGGCCGACTGGTTAGGAATCTTCTCTCCTAATCGGAAGACAGGGTTCCCCGTGGCGAAAGGTGTGTCCCTTTCCCAGTTGGGTTTCTAACACATTGAGGGGAGGCCTCCGTTGTGTGCCCTATCATGTGAGCTTTAGGATCCAGTTCATTATCACAAAAACGCAGATTTCGAAGAATAGATTCAAATTTTGCTCTTGACCTAATGTGGGACATGTGGGAAAATCCTCCTAATCCAGGCCTGCTACTCCAGTAGTCACGAATCCTCGGTAATTTGACGATTCCCATTTGAAGCCAGGAAGAGCTTGAAAGATTTTGCATCGAAATCCTGCCAGTTTGTTTTCCTTTTTCCATGTTTATTAGATTCGCCTACTAAAATATTGTCGTCGATAAAATAAGAACAATAATCGATAGGATCTTGAAAAGTACTGAAGTCAAATCCAAATCGTTCTTCATCATGGTGTAGGAGACTCTTAAAATCTTTCCAACCATAAATAAACTGCTTCGGAGTCAAAAATGTCAAAAAATGCGCTTGGTCCGTAGACGAAAAAAAAAAAAAACGCTGCGGTTTCGAAAGGGTTAAAAACTTAGAAAGACGATTTGAGCAAAAATACAAGACAGTGTTGCACGAGGAGTTGGATCTTGAGAATTTCATAGAAAGCCCCATTTCTGCTTCGTCTTTGAGCGAGTTTCAGTAAATTCAATAGACTCTGAGCTTGCGAGTGTATTAACTGATAGGCTAAGGTCTAGTCTAGAAGTCTAGAAGAAGACGGCGGTGTTGCAAAGATTTGCGATCGAAAATTTTTAGCCTATCAAAATACGAATATTTCAAGCACTTAAAAGTCAAAGCATACAATTTTGAGAAAAGTCAACTTCTCACCGATGTAGCGAAAAAAGAAGAGGGAAGACGGAGTAAAGGAGCTTCAGCAGCATTGTAGTACTTATGGAGCCCAAGCTATCGACTATTCGGCGACTTTTCAAGGTCAAAACTAGAGCCAAAACTATTTTTAACCACTAAATATGCATTCTTTGACTTAAATTGACTGGTAGAGGCAAAAGAAATCGAAAAATATTGTTTTTATTTTGCGCTACGTTTAACTGTTTAACTTCAAAATTGGAAATTCCGCTGCCGAATCGCATCGTTCTCTCTGTGCTGCTTTCGGAGATGGCAGTTTGTCTCTCAGGCAGTGTCAGACTTGGTTTCAATGGCTCCGAGAGGGGGACGAGGCTTTGGAAGATTACGAGCACGGTTCAAGGCCAGAAGTCGTGAACGAAGCCAAGCTGAGGGACGTTATACAGGCCGATCCATGCCAATCTGCTCGAAATCTTGCGAAAATATTCCATTGTGATCATGTCACCATCGAATGCCATCTTTTTTTTTGGAATTTACCGTCAAATTGGCAGTTTCTTTTGCACCACCCTCATATGTAACGGTAATTTTGGCTCACTCTGTAGTAAATATGCCATCAACAATGTTACGGTAACTCGTGTACAATCAAAAGTTTAGAAATAACTGAAAGATAGAAATAGAAAGATCTCCAAAAGCAATCTCCAAACGAGATTAGCGGTGGATTACGGTATTTTGAGTTGGATTGACTATTAGAGTTGATAATAAGCCGTTTTACCATAGTTTTACCATTTTACCATTTATAACTATAAAGCTAGCATGCAAAAGCTACCGTAACTTGTATAGATTTGGTCTTTATCGATCTGAGTTACGGGAATATTACGTAATATAATATTACGGCAATATGGGCTACGGTGGGCGCGGGTTACGCTAAGCGGATGGCGTTTTAAAGCCAATCTCATTTGGAGTTTACTTGTTTGTTTGTTTAGCAGTTTCCGGCAGTTTCCGGCAACTCATGCCAACACACCTCCGCGATGCCCAAGTCGCGATTATCGAAACCAAAAGTGAATTTAAATCAAATTTTAGTGCATTAGACATCTAGATTTTCGCCTTTATTGCAAAGTAATCTTTTATTTATAATTATTATTTTAAAGAATTCAAATACATTCATTCAAATACAAGCATTCAAATACAGAAACCCGTCAAAATGAGTGTTTTTTCAATCATAAAACATTCAATGATACAACTGAAGAGAAATGAACCAAATATACATTTAAATTCGATCGAAATTATTAAGTTGAGGAAAAAGTAATGTCAGTTTTGATTTCCCATTGTTGGCTAGTTGGTTTTCCAGTTCTTTGCTTATGCGATTTGTTTTCAAATTGATATCACGTTATTTATAAGCTATTTTAATAAGATTTATGACTCAAAAAACGTCAGGTTATTTTTCTAAAATCAAACTGGGTACTAGAGCTTCAGCTTTTGGCTTCAGGGTCAGCTTTTGGCTTCAGGGTCAGCTTTTGGATTCAGGGTCAGCTTTTGGCTTCAGGGTCAGCTTTTGGCTTCAGGGTCAGCTTTTGGCTTCAGGGCCAGCTTTTGGCTTCAGGGTCAGCTTTTGGATTCAGGGTCAGCTTTTGGCTTCAGGGTCAGCTTTTGTCGGATCGGGTCGGGTCGGGACAACCTTTGACCTGAGCTGATCCGATCCGATTCGATCCGACCCGATTTCCCATGTCTACTAGATACTTCTGCATCTTTCCCCGTCAACCAAATAGCATAAATGTAAATTTTCCCCGCTACTAGTTTAGAAAAATCATTTGGACTATTTTCTTCCTCTTTTTACTATGTTTATATTGATTGATTCTATTGGGTTGAGGAAAAAGTAATGTCGGTTTTGATTTCCCATTGTTGGCTGGTTGGTTTTCCAGTTCTTATGCGATTTTTTTCAACTTGATATCACCTAGAAACTTCTATGCTTTTATATTATATTTGATTTTTAAATAAATTTTAACAAATTTTTACAATTTTAACAAATTTAACAATATTTTCAGGTACAAAATGCAAGAGGAAAAGTTTCGACTTCGAGCCGCTTTATGGTATGATTTTAAACAAGGGAAATCGACGAGCTTGGTTGGATGGACCAAAAAACAATCGACAACCAGGGAAATCCGCGGCTGAATCGCATCGGATAATCATTGAAATTTTTGGGGAAGACAGCATTAGCGAAAGACAATGCCAAGTATGGTTTCAGCGGTTCAAAGATGGAAATGAAAGTCTCCAAGACGAGGAACGGTCTGGACGACCCCAAGAGATTTCAGATGAGGATTTATAAAAATATACAAAATGCAAGGCGAAAAGTTTCGACTTCGAGCCGCTTTGTGGTATGATTTTAAACAAGGGAAATCGACGAGCTTGGTTGGAAACTTAACAGCTTAACAGGTTGGTTGGAAACTTCTCTGCCCCACGCACCTTATACTGGCTAACCTTGGTCTTCTTGGCGGTATGCCGCTTGGCATTGTCTTGCTGGAGGCTCAAGTCCTACTAAGTCTTGTCTTGTCTTGTCTTGCTCTTGTCTTGTTTGGTCTGGACCTGACCCCATCAGATTATTTTTTCTTTCGGTCGTTCAAGAGTTTTCTTATGGGAGAAAAGTTCGAGAATCATGCACAGATCAAAAAAAACAGGCGACACTGGCAGTCGACACTGGCAGTCGACACTGGCAGTCGACACTGGCAGTCGACACTGGCAGTCGACACTGGCAGTCGACACTGGCAGTCGACACTTATTTTGGCTCGAAAACTCGGCATTTTTGTTTAAGGATTGAATCAGGGACTTGCGACAAAGATGGGAAACAATTCATCAATAATAATTGAGAATATCTCATTGATTGATGTGCTTTTGTTTATGTTTTTAGCAATAAACAGTTTTGTGACAAAAACCAACATTACTTTTTCCTCAACTACATTACTTTTCCTCAATAGATAACAACCTCTTCTCCAGAGGAAATCTCAATCAATTTTAGCTTTGTTTCATTGACAGAGCTTTCTGTGACATTTTCAAACTCAAAAGAAGTAGTTGTTTGTGAAATGATGAAATTAGCAGTCGTGTTCTTGAATGTTTCCGAAAATTCGTAAGCTGTTGAGGGAGTTGTGGCGAAAGTTTTCACAAAGAAAGTCATGATTGGACGAGCGAACCAACGAGTCACGATATTACCTAAAATTCGCTTTTACTGTAAAGCTCAAAGCTCTAAAGCTTACTTGTAAGATCTAGGTTACGGTTACAGATTACGACAGATTACTAGAAACGCTTTCGACGACATTTTCGAACGCTGGTCGACAATGTAGGCTTTAATACATGCTCTAGCGCTACGCTCTAGCGCTACGCTCTAGCGCTACACTCTAGCGCTACGCTCTAGCGCTACGCTCTAGCGCTTTGGGCTCCCGCCTGCTCGCGCGCGGCCTTAGCGCTACGCCTCAGCTCTACGCTCTCCAGCGCTCTACGCTCTGGCTCTACGCTGCTCGGCTCAAGGCCCATCCACCACCTAGCTCACCGTAGCGCTCACGCCCCTCCCCCCCCCCCCCGCCCTGGGCGGCTCATGGCGCAGTGGATAGTGTGCTAGCCCTCGACAGATTACTAGACTTTTTTGAACGCTGGTTGACAAGGTAGGCTCTACCGCTACCGTAGCGGTATACATGCTCTACCGTAGCATAGCTTTTTATCTATCGATCTTTGACATAGAATTGACCCCAATTTACGAGTTCTTCTCAAAAAAAGAGAAATATTACGAAAAAATCGAGATTCTCTATAATTTTTACACACAATGTAGAAGTTTTTGATGCTGATTCTGAAGCCGGTTTTAGTTTTTCTAGTGGGGCTTTGTAACGAGAGTTATTTGACATACAGACTTGACCCTGATTCGCCTTTTAAATGCTTTCTTTATCAATCCGAAATGTAAGCTGTGGCGCAGTGGATAGTGTGCTAGCATCGGGTTCAATTCCCATGCATACCTTGGGTTCAATTCCTAAGCTTACCTTGGGTTCAATTCCCCATGATGAATTTTTCTAGTGGTGCTTTGTAACGTGAGTTATTTGACATACAGAATTGACCCTGATTCGCCTCTAGTTACTTTGGACACGCTATACGAGTCCAAAAACAAAAAGAACAAAGCATTTACTTGTATTTTTGCATAAAAAGTAGGCTGTTTTAAACCGGCTAGACATTTTTGCATTTTAAATAAATTACCGTTTGATAGACACGAGTCAAAAGCGGCATCGGCTTCCAGCCTTGCCATCACGCAATCGATATGATAATCGTGATAGGCACAGCACTTGTTGATCACTGAAACGAATGCTTTGTTTTCTGGTTTTCTGCTTTGCAACGTTTACTCCCATAAATCACAATGATTCAAACGGGATCAATTCAATTAAAAACGCAATTTCAAAGCAATTTCCATAAACTATCATCGATTTAAGTGATCTATTAAGTTTGAAAGAAAAGAAAATCTTTATTGTGCCCAAATCGTCGATAGTTTGGGCTCCATGTACACTATAGCGCACTTTGAAGCTCCAAAACTCTGCTTAAAACGCCTTTTCCCAAGCTCTCGTTGTATTTTTCGGAATCTACGCATAAAACTACCCCAGGAAATCTACCTGGGGTAGTTTTCCAGCCTATCCCAAGCCTATCCCAAAAATTGACATTGGATTGAACGGGAAATGGATAGGGAAATGGAAATGTAAGTCAAAGGATGCATATTTAGCGGTTGAAAATGGTTTTGGCTCTAGTTTTGACCTAGAAAAGTCACCGAATAGTCAATAGCTTGGGCTCCATTTAGTGAAGTACACTATAGCGCACTTTGACGCTCCAAAACTCTGCTTAAAACGCCTTTTCCCTAGCTCTCGGTGTATTTTTCGGAATCTACACATAAAACTACCCCAGGAAAAGTGATTTTAAAGAAAAGAAATCTAGGATAGTATCAAAATTTCTTGAAATAAACTTATCAAAAAATTTGGAGAATTGATCGGCATAATTTTTGGAAAGTCGGCACTGGCAGTCGACACTGGCAGTCGACACTGGCAGTCGACACTGGCAGTCGACACTGGCAGTCGACACTGGCAGTCGACACTGGCAGTCGCCTGGCAGTCGACACTGGCAGTCGACACTGGCAGTCGACACTTATTTTGGCTCGAAAACTCGGCATTTTTGTTTAAGGATTGAATCAGGGACTTGCGACAAAGATGGGAAACAATTCATCAATAATAATTGAGAATATCTCATTGATTGATGTGCTTTTGCTTATGTTTTTAGCAATAAACAGTTTTGTGACAAAAACCAACATTACTTTTTCCTCAACTACATTACTTTTCCTCAATAGATAACAACCTCTTCTCCAGAGGAAATCTCAATCAATTTTAGCTTTGTTTCATTGACAGAGCTTTCTGTGACATTTTCAAACTCAAAAGAAGTAGTTGTTTGTGAAATGATGAAATTAGCAGCCGTGTTCTTGAATGTTTCCGAAAATTCGTAAGCTGTTGAGGGAGTTGTGGCGAAAGTTTTCACAAAGAAAGTCATGATTGGACGAGCGAACCAACGAGTCACGAGATTACCTAAAATTCGCTTTTACTGTAAAGCTCAAAGCTCTAAAGCTTACTTGTAAGATCTAGGTTACGGTTACAGATTACGACAGATTACTAGAAACGCTTTCGACGACATTTTCGAACGCTGGTCGACAATGTAGGCTTTAATACATGCTCTAGCTCTACGCTCTAGCTCTACGCTCTAGCTCTACGCTCTAGCTCTACGCTCTAGCTCTACGCTCTAGCTCTACGCTCTAGCTCTACGCTCTACCGTAGCGCTCATGGCGCAGTGGATAGTGTGCTAGCCTCGACAGATTACTAGACTTTTTTGAACGCTGGTTGACAAGGTAGGCTCTACCGCTACCGTAGCGGTATACATGCTCTACCGTAGCGTAGCTTTTTATCTATCGATCTTTGACATACAGAATTGACCCCAATTTACGAGTTCTTCTCAAAAAAAGAGAAATATTACGAAAAAATCGAGATTCTCTATAATTTTTACACACAATGTAGAAGTTTTTGATGCTGATTCTGAAGCCGGTTTTAGTTTTTCTAGTGGGGCTTTGTAACGAGAGTTATTTGACATACAGACTTGACCCTGATTCGCCTTTTAAATGCTTTCTTTATCAATCCGAAATGTAAGCTGTGGCGCAGTGGATAGTATGCTAGCATCGGGCTCAATTCCCATGCATACCTTGGGTTCAGTTCCTAAGCTTACCTTGGGTTCAATTCCCCATGATGAATTTTTCTAGTGGTGCTTTGTAACGTGAGTTATTTGACATACAGAATTGACCCTGATTCGCCTCGAGTTACTTTGGACACGCTATACGAGTCCAAAAACAAAAAGAACAAAGCATTTACTTGTATTTTTGCATAAAAAGAAGCCTGTTTTAAACAGGCTAGACATTTTTGCATTTTAAATAAATTACCGTTTGATAGACACGAGTCAAAAGCGGCATCGGCTTCCAGCCTTGTCATCACGCAATCGATATGATAATCGTGATAGGCACAGCACTTGTTGATCACTGAAACGAATGCTTTGTTTTCTGGTTTTCTGCTTTGCAACGTTTACTCCCATAAATCACAATGATTCAAACGGGATCAATTCAATTAAAAACGCAATTTCAAAGCAATTTCCATAAACTATCATCGATTTAAGTGATCTATTAAGTTTGAAAGAAAAGAAAATCTTTATTGTGCCCAAATCGTCGATAGCTTGGGCTCCATTTAGTGAAAAACCCTATAGCGCACTTTGAAGCTCAAAAACTCTGCTTAAAACGCCTTTTCCCAAGCTCTCGTTGTATTTTTCGGAATCTACACATAAAACTACCCCAGGAAAAGTGATTTTAAAGAAAAGAAATCTAGGATAGTATCAAAATTTCTTGAAATAAGCTTATCAAAAAATTTTGGAAGAATTGATGGTTTGGTTTTTAAGAAATTAGAAATTGAGAACTTTTTCCGAGAACTTTCTTTCCAATCTAATAGAAAATCTAATAGAAGATCCGAATCTAATAGAAGATCCCAATCTAGTAGAAGATCCCAATCTAATAGAAGATCGAATAGAAGATCCCAATCTAGTAGAAGATCGAATAGAAGATCCCAATCTAGTAGAAGATCTCAATCTAGTAGAAGATCCCAATCTAATAGAAGATCCCAATCTAGTAGAAGATCTCAATCTAATAGAAGATCCCAATCTAATAGAAGATCCCAATCTAGTAGAAGATCGAATAGAAGATCCCAATCTAGTAGAAGATCCCAATCTAATAGAAGATCCCAATCTAGTAGAAGATCTCAATCTAATAGAAGATCCCAATCTAATAGAAGATCCCAATCTAGTAGAAGATCGAATAGAAGATCCCAATCTAGTAGAAGATCCCAATCTAATAGAAGATCCCAATCTAGTAGAAGATCTCAATCTAATAGAAGATCCCAATCTAATAGAAGATCCCAATCTAGTAGAAGATCGAATAGAAGATCCCAATCTAGTAGAAGATCCCAATCTAATAGAAGATCCCAATCTAGTAGAAGATCTCAATCTAATAGAAGATCCCAATCTAATAGAAGATCCCAATCTAGTAGAAGATCGAATAGAAGATCCCAATCTAGTAGAAGATCCCAATCTAATAGAAGATCCCAATCTAGTAGAAGATCGAATAGAAGATCCCAATCTAGTAGAAGATCTCAATCTAGTAGAAGATCCCAATCTAATAGAAGATCCCAATCTAGTAGAAGATCGAATAGAAGATCCCAATCTAGTAGAAGATCTCAATCTAGTAGAAGATCCCAATCTAATAGAAGATCCCAATCTAGTAGAAGATCTCAATCTAATAGGAGATCCCAATCTAGTAGAAGATCTCAATCTAATAGAAGATCCCAATCAAGTAGAAGATCCCAATCTAATAGAAGATCCCAATCTAGTAGAAGATCCCAATCTAATAGAAGATCCCAATCTAGTAGAAGATCTCAATCTAATAGAAGATCCCAATCTAGTAGAAGATCCCAATCTAATAGAAGATCCCAATCTAATAGAAGATCCCAATCTAGTAGAAGATCGAATAGAAGATCCCAATCTAATAGAAGATCCCAATCTAATAGAAGATCCCAATCTAATAGAAGATCCCAATCTAGTAGAAGATCCCGAATCTATAATTCAAAAGCAGCGGAATAGCTTGTAAATGTAAGTGTCTTTGCCTTATAGCTTTTGCTATACACTTTTTCTACAAACTTGCTACAAACTACAAACTACAACTACAAACTTTCTTGTCAATCTAGTAATATGATAGAACTTTGACCGACAATCGGTGTTGAAAGTGAGCATCGAGACGCCCATCGATCCAATGTGTGAAGCGATTCCATTCCCACAATGCCATTCCGATCCGTCGTACTCGATCTCATTCTCGCAACTCGCTTTTCTCTAAAAAATTTGTTCTCGAAGCTTTCTAAAATACAAATCACTTGAAATTTCAGGGCCTTTACGGCTAAAGGCCGAAGCTCGCCAAGCTGGTGAGTTTTTGACTAACTTGCAGCCCTAGTTAAATGAGTTAAGAGTTAAATTAGCTCAAGAATAAACAGAAACTTTGAAAGCCAAAGAAAACGCATCAATTTATCAATCTTGTTTCTTTGTTCTATTCGCATTTGGTTTATAAAAGAGCAAAGAGCTAGCAAAAAAATTTTGGAGCTTTACGGTTATCGGGGTCGCGTTTTTGACCATTTTGCAGTCCGATTTTAGTTAGGTTTTTGTTAATAACTTTTGATAAAACAAATAGTTTTTAAAAGTTAACGTTTTAAGCTATCTAAATCTTATTAAAACTTTCTGATCTGATAATTTAAGGTGCTTAAAAATGAGCTGCAAGTTGGCGAAAAGATTTGACTCCGCTGATAATGGCCGAAATTTTATTATCATTTATTTATTATTCTAACCTTGACTCTTGCTAGTTTTCCTGGTTTCGCAATCGATAAAGTGAATAATAAGAAAATGATGTGAAATCGGAGAATCATCAAAAGAAAGCTGAAATGCTTCTTGAGAAGTTTGAGAGAAAGTTTGAGAGAAAACACTGAGTATTTGAAGAGAGTTGTTTCTTGTTTCTGAAATTCTTTTTCAGAAATTCAGGCTCAGCTCTAGGCCGGCTTGGCTCAGCTCTAGGTCTGGCTTGGCTCAGCTTTGGTCTGGCTTGGCTCAGCTCTAGGCCTGGCTTGGCTCAGCTCTAGGCCTGGCTTG